AAGTATTTCTGTATGAGAATGCAATCTGAGCTCAGTAAAGACCTTAAAAGTTTTGAAATCCAACATACATTCACTAGTTTGGGTATCAGAATGGGTCAGATTTTTTTTCAGATATAAAACCCATTGTGGTCGAGTTGATTCCAACTCATAGCTACCCTAAAGGACAGAGTAGAACTGCTCCATAGGGTTTCCAAGGAGCGGCTGGTGGATTTGAACTGCCAGCCTCTTGGTTAGCACCCGAGCTCTTAACCACTATGCCACCAGGGCTCCTTTTCAGATATAGGCCTATGTAAAAACGGCTTTCAACAGTTTGCTTTAAAACTGTTTTGTTTCTTTTTTTTAAATAATAAATGTGAAAACTAGGTTATAGTTAATAAAAAGAAAAGAGAAAAATTTAATACAAAAGGAAAATATAATTAGCAATTATTCTTGAAAATAAGACAATTGTCTATTTAATAGTGTAGGTGGTAATTTATATCATGTGAGTATCGAAGGTACAGATCTGACACCATTTCCTTCCGTGTAATCCTGTGGGGAGGGTGGGAAAGTAAATCATGAGGTACAGGCACAAGATCTGGTGAGTAGTCATACGGATTCATCCGAACACAGCCTCAAGAGCTGGTGTTTGAAGAATGTACCCAATGTCACTGAACTGTATGTGTAGAAATTGTTTACTGGGTGCATGTTTTGCTCTGTATATTTGCACCAAAAATAAAATACGTATTATTTTTTAGAAAAGAGTTGGTATCGAAGAGCAAAGGGAAACTCAACTTTTCTTGGTGGAAATGGAGCAGAAAGTCGATGAGCAAAAATAGAGGAAGAGACTAAAAAATGAGTAAAGAAAAAAGAGAGAAAAGCTAAGTAACAGGAAACTAGATTTAGATTATGTAAATCAGGAAAAAGTTAAAGTACAAGACATAAGGTTTGGGAGTGGGAGAAAAATAAGGTAAAAGAAGAGTGGAGAAAAGGGGGCTGGGCTGTTTTGTTGTTGGAAAGTACTTTCCTCCTCTCCCTGGGGGAGGATTTTATTTCCTCCACCTTTTGAGGTCAGGCTTGGTCCTGAGACTTCTTCAGGCCCAGGAAATGGGAATAGAGGTGGTGCGCATCACCCCCAGGCCAGCGAAGCTCTAAGGGCCATCAACAATTTTTAGATTAATTTTATTAGGGGGTAGAGAGAAAACTTCAGTGAGCTTCTTGGTTATATAAAGCAAAGTCTCCCTTCTAGATTAGAATGGTTAAGTGGATGATCTGCTACCCTGATTTCGCTGTGGGCAGTTACATTTCTCCAGATTATGCTGTTGTGGGGGTGGGGCCTGGACTCATGAGAGGCTACCCTATTCGAAAATCTCTGCCATCTAGGGGAGGTGAAATGGCACCTGCAACTTGGCAACAGGTCAGAGCTCAGGAGACAGGCATGGGGCAGCCTCCAAGGAAGTGCATGGCCAACAGACTCTAGAAGTCATTGGGTCCAATTCCCAGTTTTATGTGGTTATTTTTCTGGGGGCGAGGGAGAGGGTTGGTTTGTATAGTAATTCCTCTCTTTTCCTCAGGCTTTTGGTAAAAGATTTGTTTAAAGTTACAGCCTAGTTTTAGATATGCTTTGGAGGATCAGGAGCCCTGGTGGCATAGTAGTTAAGAGCTCAGGCTGCTAACCAAAAGGTTGGCGGTTCAAATCCACCAGCTGCTCCTTGGAAACCCTATGGGGCAGTTCTCCTTTGTCCTATAGGGTCGCTATGAGTTGGAATTGACTCAACGGCATTGGATTTGGAGGATCAAGGATACGGGTCTTATTTATGCTGGGGTACTAGATATAGGGAGAAAGGTAATAGCTTGGAAAAGCAATTTCAAAATGGCAGAAAAGTGGAAGCCAGCCAGTGCCAGAAGAGTGGCCAAGGTACCAGCAACAACCAGGACTAATTTGTGTGACGTGGAAACATTCCTGGGATTCCCAGAAATACTTTGAAAGGGGAATAATATAAAAATCAGGACTTCAAATATCTTTCAGGTTGGGACTTGGTTACTTATATTCATCCTGGACCCAGCTAAAAACCATTTTCTTTGGAAAGCATTCTCTATTCTCCCTGGCCTGTTACTGCCTTCTTACTCTGAAATTATGTATCAACTTTGTGGATAATAATGTAGTCTAGATCTCTAAGATGATGATTTGCTTTTATGCCTGTTCCCACCCCACATCTCGTTTACTTTGTAACCCTGCTGTCTGGTTCAGAAAACACCTGTGGAATGAACAGCTGCCTTCTATGGGCCATGCAGTGTTCTAGGCAGGAATCCAGAAAGTCAGGGAAGATGTAGAATACCGGGTATGGCTTTTTCCTTTCTCCCCGTCCAAGCAGATAGCAGGTTCTGAGTTCACCGTCTCAGGAGAAGGTGTCACAGGGTGAAGAATACATTGTTTGTGGGAAGAGGCCTATTCACGTTAAGATTATACTGGGTCTTTGAATAAAATCCACTGTGATATGAGGAGGAGCCTCTGAGGAAACCAAGTCAAGTATTTTCCCCAGGGCTCAGGACACAGGGAAATCTTAATTGGCTTTGAGTGCAAAAACTGTAAAATGTTCTGTAGCTTTAACTTCATCGGCATGGTTTTGGCGTGGCCTGATGGGCCAGTAGAAGGCTCCAATACTGCAAACTTGGAGCTGCTTTTTGTCCTGTTAACCGTTTATTTGGTTGCAAATTTTTTATTTGCTTTCTTTCAAGAATCTGGCACCCCTTGACTGTTTGGTGATTCCTGGCTGGGAGTTCATCTTTGCAACTGAGATCCCCTGGCTAGACTATCTGCCCCCCATTTGTGTAGCCTGACTCAGAGGAGAGGCACACTGTTTTTGGGTCACCATGAGTCGGAATCGACCCGACGGCAACGGGTTTGGTTTTAGAGATGAAAAAGATGCACCACCGAGCAGGGTACGTCAGTTGGTGGTCTCCTGGGCTTGGGTATTCCCATCACTGCTACTGCGAAATGTGTTCTCCACCTGCCCCCGAGTCTGGAGGGTGTGAGATGGGGATGGGTGCGTGTGCGGATCTGCGTATGGATCAGCTGGCTCAGCTGCTCCTGTGCAGGAGCCCAAGCAATCCCCATAAGTTGCTTCTCTCAGCCCCTTCCTGCCCCTGGATCCCATTGCTTGCAGCGATCGCGGGCCTCCTTGCATGGCTGTAGTGTTCTCCCGTGTGCCTGCCACATGCATCTCAGCCTGCAGTTTCTCTCTTTAACTTGATCCCATCTGATTTCATGTTCTCAGGGATTTCTTAGTTTCAGATCCTCCCAGACTTCCCCTTCTTGTTTTGTTTGGCAATGTATCTCCCTACTTTTAAAAAAAAAGGCTTGGTTACCATTCCTAAGGCTTTGTGCAGAAGTGGAGGTGGGGAGGACCATGTGCCGTCCACTGGAAGCACACACCAGAGCACCCTGGCAGCACTTGACATATAATCTTGATTAACTTGAGGTACGACAACCAATGACTGGGGACACGGTGGTTACAGCATTTCCAAGAGCTACTGAAAGGCTGGTAGAGTGATTCTGTATCTACACCATATTCTATGAAGGCTGGACTGTTAAAATCTATTTTCTTATAAAGATTCTATGTGTTTGGGAAGCAGGAACCGATTAGTTTGTACAAACCAAAAACCCAACCCATTGCCACCGAGTGATTCTGACTCATAGCGACCCTATACAGGGAACTGGTAATAAACAGCAAAAGTAACAATAGCTACCATTTAACAATCTCTGTGAGCCCTGTGCATGTCACGTTTGAACCTCACAACCACCTTATGAAGTAGATACCTTTCTTTCTAACATACTGTAGATCAGCAAATTAGAAACTAAAGAAGTTAAGGGGTGTTAGGAACACTCACTCAGTTGTAAGCAAAGCTAGCAAGAACACAATTCGAGAAAAATATAGGTCTGAGGCCATTTAAAATAGTGGGGAAGTAATTTATAATGATAACCCTAAATTACCAAGGAAAAATTAAAATGTTTTAATATATTCTAAGAAAGCATGTAAGTGTATGGTTCATTTAATACTTTTGTTAAAATGTTAAAGTAAAACAAATGTTAGTTCTTAAGGAGTTAAGCTTCGGTTATCTGGAGTATTTATTTACAGGATATGTTCTCTTTCCTGGGGATGCCAGAAAGTTAGGAGACCTGTAATAAGAGCTCCCTCGTCTCCTGAGAGGACAGACCAGCTTATATGGAAGAAATTTGAATTTTCCAACAACTTTATGCATCATAAGGCATCCTGAGATATAAAATTTACATGTCATTTAACAATAACCCTACATGGCTGCTTGTTAAGTTTGATGCACTCATTTAAAGTCATCTGAGACTTACGGATTTAGCCACATTCAATATAAATATGCTGGAGTTTACTTTCAAAATTTGGATTATTTTGACAATGCCCCCTCTCCCCCAAAAAAGACCATACTGAAGCAGACACTAAGAACCTACAGTCTATAAACTTTTTATAAGCGTATAATGATATTAAAATTTTAGACAAGATTCATGTTTGATAAAAGAGCAGTACTTTTCTCTGTTCACATTGTACCACATAGAGTAAGTTTTTATCTTTAACTGTTTGAAATGTTTAAAAAAAAATACCCCAAATGCTGCTCTTATGATGAATGGTAATGAACATATAATAAAACATATGACCATCACAAAAGTTCTGAAATTTTAAGAATAGGACTTTGACTTTAAATGGTAGTCTTTTTATATTAACAAAACGTTCTGCAAATGTTTTTGCAAAAAGCTGGGTAAAAATTCTACTTCCTCAGATTACCAGTCCTTTTACTAAACCTCAAAATCAAAGGGCTCCATTGTAACATTTGCTGCTATGGTTTCGATTTTCATTTGGCAGTGAAACACCTGCAAGTCTAACGTTGCTAATTAATGCCACACTTGCTCTGTATTACCTTATAACACGGTTAATGCACCTCAGAAACTGAAGTGTGCAGTATATTTTCTTTTCAGAAACACCCACAAACTAAAATAGATATTTAAAATCTTTATTTTTTCATCATCAAAAGTTTTCTTTCCCTAGTAGAATGGCGATGCTGTATCAGTGCATATTCTATGGAAAATTCATACCTCAGGTGACTAGCCTAAAAATCAGAGACAGCACTATGTCAAGCTAGTGTGCAAGGTGCAAGACACAATGCTGTCAGTGCAGTAGTATACTGAAGGAATATGCAGCTGTTAGAAAAAGTCTATGGCCCAAGTGAATGAACAGTAGCAGTCCACTGCACTGACATTCTACAAGAACAGAAAACGGGGAAGAAACAGAGAACGTACTTCCTGCAAAAAAAATCAAGCAGATCACAGGCACAGAGCTCCCAGTTGTATCGCCAGCTGTCGATTTCACAGGTACCCGAACTTTCCTTTTTATGTAGGATCCCTGGAGTGTACAACACTGTAACACTGCCAGCCGTTTTCAGCCTAATGGGTAAATGGTACAGCCACATGCATACATTTCATCCTGGTTCCCATCTTGCAGCTAGAAATAACAACCTGGGGTAGGCAATACAGTCTGTGGCTTTAGGCATTGTTAATAAAAAGCTGAACAAACCCAAAATTTGTTCCCATTTTGTTGAGAAATCAACTTTACAAAACAGAAGATAGGTGTCATGATTATTCGGTTTTGTCTAAAGGCAAAACAATTTTTATGTAAGTACAATGAATATACAAACAGAATGAATATACAAACAAATATCATTAACAAAATACTGTCAGACCAACTGTTGAAAAAAGTACGGATAACTGTGAGACGCAAGTGACTGCTACAATCTGATCATGCCTGGGCACTGGGGAATTCTTGGTCAGGTTTGTGTCTGAAGCTGGTATACAGCTGGATTTGGCTAGTTTGCATTAATTCACACAAGAAATGCCTTTTATAAGGAAATAGCATCTATCATGAGGAAATCAAAATCAAAATAGTTGAGAGATATATAAGAAACTTGTCTTAAATATTCTTAAATTACATATGATATGACCTTAAAGAACAACTACAATTACCATGGTCTAAACCTTAAACTGTTAATGCATGGATTATCTGCAAGACTAACAAGTCTCTTGTTAGTCACGTCAAGGCCTTGTGGGGGAGGGGCACTCTGAATGTATGGCATAGCAATTATTTTCCAGGTAAGTTAAACACTTCTCATTTTAAGTGTTATTAAACTATATTTGAAAAGTTATTTTACTTAATATATACAATGTATAAAATAAGTTAGAAGACGGGACCAGGGAAAGGTTTTCTTGTATATATGATGCCAACATACAACTTTCCCTCGTGAGTAGTTCATGTCTGTCCATTTTATCCATGGTAAAACATGAAAGGCTGATAGAAAATCAAAAAATTTCACTTCTCAACAGAAATAGGATTAAAAAAAAAAAAAGGAATTTCAACGGTGTTTCTTCCCACAGTGTAACTCATTCTTTCTACTTCAACTGCCAGAAACATAAAAATCACATCTCAAAAACTGGTTTTCACACCCTGACCTTAAAGTTTAATAATAAGTTCTTCTAACAATTGAGAAGAAAAGCAACGCCTTTGTAGCAGTTCCACAAAATAATGCTCAATTCACAAAACACCTGCTATTAGTAAAAGCATCAGCCCTTATTGAGGGCGTGGGCATTAATACTTGGCCCCTCTGAGGTATAAATGCAACTCTATTTGCACTTAGTATATATTCTATAAGGTATGCCAGCGGTCTCCATGTTTGCATAAAATTGGAAATGATGTCATCCCGACTGACTGAAAACTTACTTTTATAACTTTTTATGATAATGGAGGCTAAATAATCTTAAAAGATGTACTTTAACCCAGTAATACAGCCAGCAGAATTCTGAATTCCTAACCAATGCAAATGGTTATTACATTTAAAAAATGTTTAGCACTGCATATTGATTTAAAAAAAAAAAAACTAAATAGGAAAAACACATAAATATTTAAATTCAGCAGGACACCACCAAAAGCATACTGTGAAGTGTGAAATCAGTCAAGCTTTTCCAAAAGCCGAAAATCCTTTTAATCCTTCAGCAAGTCTCTGTGAAAATAGTATGCTTACAATAAAAGTGAAAAGGGAGCACCCAGAATACCCGCAAGAGGCTCGCCATAGCATTCAGCTTTACTGCCCCATTTCCTGTTTGCGTGGACGGCCAACAAATGACAAGAAGTTCATTTTATGAAAGTTCAGCAACTCCTTTTCACCACTGCTGCCAGCTGAAGTCGTCACTGCTTCCAAAGACCAAGAAAAAGCCTAGGATCGTCGCGAAGATGACTGTGTTTCCCGTGAGGACAAGTGCGCAGGCTCCCCACTCAATCTGCAGAAATAAGACAGACACAGCCAACAGACATATGAAAACAAAGAGAAAACGAAAAGCCAATCAAGGCTCTAGTTGTATGCCAGTCATGAACTACAACAAATCTAATTTGTAATAAGGACTCTCACAGTACTGAAAGTTTGTTTAATGGTACTTGTATATTGCTTTCTTTTCTTTCTTTTAAATGTTTGGTTCCTTTAAAAAGATAAAAAGTCAAAGAGGATGGTAACTGTTGAAAAGCAAGCCTGACTCTTCTGGGCTATGAGGAGGCGACATAAAATTCTGCAATTTTCTGTTCATAAGGAAATTCTCTAACTCTTCCATAGTGAAGCTAAATTTTATCTAGAGAGCAGAGTAAATTTAAAATGTCAGAGGTGAAGACAGACTCATGGACATTCTTTTAAAGGAGCAGGGGGAGTTGTCCCCCGTTCCACATGGAAGATTCTTGTCCTCTCGGTCTTTTTCTCCACCTCCCCAGAGACAGAGGCGTGAATCTGACGGTGAGTTTGAGGGGAAGTTCTGAGTATATGCAGCCCAGCCCCTTCTCCTCTTTGGTACTTCTCACCTGCAGAGAGCGTACAATCTCCTTAGGTCTCCTATGTTTTAACTGGGACAGGGCAGGCCTCTGGCTGCTCAGCACCAGGTGAGCTGATGTGCCGAAGCCTGAGAGTGAAGCACTGGCAACCCAACTGTTGCTGCAGACACAGCCAGCTCTCCAATAGCATTTTAATCAGTTAACAACAACCAAAGTTGGATTTTCATCTCTGTCCTCCTAGCTCCTATGTCTTTCATCTCTTTTTCATGCTATTTAACAAATTGTTTTTGTTAAGAAAAATTTAAGAATCTAATATAAAATCAGCCCTGGTGGCGCAGTGGTTAAGAGCTCAGCTGCTAAACAAAAGATGGGCAGTTCAAATCCACCAGCTGCTCCTTGGAAACCCTATGGGGCAGTTCTACTCTGTCCTACAGGGTCGCTATGAGTCAGAATCGACTCAGTGGCAATGGGTAACATAAAATCAGCCCTGGTGGCACAGTGGTTTAGCACTCGGCTGCTAACCAGAAGGTCAGTGGTTCAAACCCACCAGCCACTCTGTGAGAGAAAGATATGGCAGTCTGCTTCTGTAAAGATTTATAGCCTTGGAAACTCCATAGGGAAGTTTTACTTTGTCCTACAGGGTTTCTATGAGTCGGAATCGATGACAGCAGTGGGAATATAAAATCATTGACAGAAGAATATATCCGAGGAGTTTATCACTTACCAGGTGTGCTCTGGCAAAAACAATAGGTAGTCCAAAGGCTGAGACAACAATGCCTGTTGTAAGAAATATGGCAAGTTCCTTACAAGCGTTACTCATAGCATCTGTATCATCCACTAATCTTCTTGCTATGCAGTATGGAATAGGTGAAAGGATGTAAAAAAACAGAACAAAGAGGGGCCAGTATTGGCTAGAAAAAGAAAAATAAGTTAATGTAGTTTTTGCTATTCATGTCATTTTCCTACCTACAAAATATGCTTGTTTTAAAAGAAGACTGAAAGGACTACTGCAAGGTGCAAAACATGGTAACAGTTTAAAAACCAGCTATAACCTGAACGCTGAAAAGGAAGTCACATTCTGAGTTACAGTATCCTTAAAGGCAATTAAAACATAATATAAATTTTTCTTATAATATTAAAATAAAATGCTTTATAAGTCAGAACAGCTGGAATCAAGGCCCAAAATTAAAAATATTTTTTCATTTTAGGATATAAATAAAGAGGCGTATAGAGAACGGGAACGTTAATATAGTAATTCTTAAAATTCAAGATTCATGCCCTTGACTTCTAATGCTGATAAAAATCCTGACTCAGCAGCTAAAACATCCCCCACTTTCCTTAAGTCAGTGGCAATTCCCAAAATACCGAAAACAAAATACAGAAAACTAACTGAAAGTAATATTGGAGACTTTCATTCAGGATACAGAACTTATCATCATAAAAACGACGGCTTTTAGTCTGTAGCCAACTGTGCTGTGCCAGTGTCGTCTCCTGGTTCTGATAACATACTACAGTTACATCAGATGTCACCACTGGGGGAAGCTGGGGGAAGGGTACAGGGGACTTCTGGGCACTGTTTTTGCAACTTCTTGAGAGTTGAAATTATTTCAAAATAAAAAGTTAAGAAGAAATGAATGGCCTTTAAAACTGCTGTGAAATAAAATATACATCATAGTAAGAGATTTGCTTATACTTAGCTTATGATAAGCAAAGATGTATCTGTTTTTTCCTAAATGCTATAAAATTTAAAAAGTTCCAAATACAATACATGGCCAACGAAAAAAATTCAAATACAAAAACAAAAAAAGTGAAAACTAAAAGTTCCCCGTTTCCAGCTTTCTCTTGCTCATTCTCCCTCCTGTCGAGCTTCTTGTAATCCCTCCATATTTCTGTATAAAAAACTTTGAAAAAGATTTCATTTAACAATATATCTTGAACACCTTTACATAATGTCACGAACTGAATTGTGTCCCCCCAAAATATGTGTCAACTTGGCTAGGCCATGATTCCCAGTATTGTGTGGTTGTCCTCCATTTTATGATCTGATTATCCTCCATTTTGTGATGTGTGGTAAATCCTAGCTTGTATGCCTGTCTTGGAAGAAGTACAGCCAGAATGCCCTTTAGAAGTAAGGATGGCGAGACTTTGTCTCACGTGCGTTGGACATGTTATCAGGAGGGACCAGTCCCTGGAGAAGGACATCATGCTTGGTAAAGTAGAGGGTCAGGAAAAGAGAGGAAAACCCTCAACGAGATGCACTGACACAAAGATTGTGAGGACGGCGCAGGACCGGGCAGTGTTTTGTTTTGTTGCACATGGTGTCGCTATGAGTCAGAACCGACTTGCTGGCACCTAGCAACAACATGTCTATGGTTATGGTCCCATTTGGGAGTCAGCTGTCCACTTTGTTAATGAGGCAGGATTAAAACCAGAAAACCAAACCAGTTGCCGTGGAGTCACTTCCAACTCGTAACGACCCTATAAGACAGAGTAGAACTGCCCCATAGGGTTTCCAGGGAGCAGCTGGTGGATTCGAAGTCCCGACCTTTTGGTTAGCAGCTGAGCTCTCAACCACTGTGCCACCAGGGCTTCATTAGGATTAGGTCATATTAATGAGGATCAGGTTATTTTTTTATGTTAGTGAAGTAGGATTAGGCTGGGATGTATCTTGAGAGTCACCACCCTTCACCGTCCCATAAGAGATAAAGGCAGAGCGAAGCAAGCAGAGAGAGAGGGACCTCCTACCAAGAAAGAAGAGTCTGGAATGGAACACATTCTTTGGACCCAAGGTCCCTGCCCTGAGAACTTCCCAGACCCAGGGGAAGACTGATGCCAAGACACATGGAGATCTCCAAGGGACGCCAGGCCCATAGATACTGAAAGGAGCCAAGGACCTTCCCCCAGAGCTGACAGAAAGCCTTCCCCTAGAGCTGGTGCCCTGCATTCAGACTTTTAGCCTCCTGAACTGTGAGAAAATAAATTTGTTAAAGCGATCCATCTGTGGTATTTCTGTTATAGCAGCACTAGATAACTAAGACACACATCAATACTTACAGCTCTTCCTCCTCCTTTTAAAGACTGCCCAGTATGTCCATGGATGGGTGTATCATAATTTAACCATTTTTTTAATGGATATTTAGGATGCTTCCAGATTTTTTGGGGGGTGGAAGGAGCTATTATAAAAAAGGCTGCCATGAACATCTATACTATCTCCCTACTCTCTCCCGACAAACATATCTTTGCAAACATCTGTAAGCATATTTTTCTGAGAAATTTTAAGAAGGGCTAGATTAAAGAGTATATACATTGAGCGCTACAAGCAAACTGGCCTTCAAAATCTTTGCACCTATTTATACTCCCACCCACAATGCCCGTTTGCCATATCTTTTTATCTCTGCCAACAGATTTCATTAATTTTGAGTGAGGTCGATAAATTGCTAATAAGCAATTTCTTATTGGCAATTTATAGTTCTTTTTTTCATATTTGTTCATCTTTCTATTGAGTTATCTATTTATTAATTTTAAAAAGTTATTTTTATTCTGTGGGGTTTACATGAACTTTATCCAAAGAATTTGGTCTTTGTCCTCAGTTGATGAGAGATAATCCCTTTAAAAAAAAAAAAAAAACACTTGGAATTTAAGCGTCTTTGATAAGGACTCCAGACCACACCTAACTAACAGGTTGGGTGAGGTGACAAGGTGACCCTGGGGTGGGGGCTGGCCAGGCCTGAAAGACTCAATACCTTGTGATCACCTTGGGATACTAACCAACCTCAGGGAAGAAGGGTTGGAATTTGCGTTATGTAATGGGATCCTCAATAAAAGCTCTGGACACAAGCTCCACGGGCTTCCTGGTTGGTGAAAGTCATCCATGCATGCTGGATGGAAGCATGTCCCTCTTCGAGACATGGAAGCTCTGCACTGGAAACCCTCCCAGACCTTGCCCTGTGTGTCTCTTCATTTGTATCCTTTTTCTGCTGTAATAAAGTGGTAATCGTAAGTATTTCGATTTCTGTAAGTTCTGTGAGTTATCGAACCCAGAGGAGTGATGGGAGCCAACAGGTCAGAAGTGAGCGGGGCTGGGAACCTCTGAGCTTATGGCTGGTATCCTGAGGGGGTAGAGGGAACCCCTGAATTTGTAGCCCACAGGTCAGAAGTGAGGGATCCTGGGGAGTCCCCGAGCTTATGGCTAGAATCCTAAAGGAGTAGTTGGAGTACCCTGAATTTGCAGCCAGCAAGTCTGACGCAAGAGGAACTATGGAGACCCCCAAGAGTCTCTCCAGGAGCTGGCATCTGAACTACTGGGCTGACGTGGTGTCTGAAAGATGGTGTCCTTTTGTGAGATCTGACCTAGCTCCAGGTGGCTAGGGTCAGAGGAAGAAGTGCTATACAGGCACCTGGTGTCAGGACTGAACAGAGAAGTGAAAGAGTGTCTGATTTTTTATTTTCTGTTGATTTGAGATTTCCACACAACGCATATCCTAGGCAAAGTAACTGTTTACGTGATTTTTTTCTTAGTCAATTGATGTCTTATGGCTCTCTGCTTATGTCGTCTTTGGCTGAAAAGTTTCTAATTTTCATGTGCTTAATTTTATCAATAAAACCAGTTGCTGTTGAGTTGAGTCTGACTCATGGCAACCCTATGTGTGTCAGAGTAGAACTGTGCTCTATAGGGTTTTCAGTGGCTGATTTTTCAGAAGTAGATTGCCAGGCCTTTCTTTTGAGGGGTCTCTGGGTGGACTGGAGCCTCCAACGTTTTGGTTAGGAGCTGAGCTCCTTAACTGTTTGCCCCACCCAGGGACTTCCAGTTGCTCAAAACTGAGCAGAAGGGATGGGCTAGAGTATTGTTATCTGCCATTATATATAGACTTAGCAGCAGTCAAGGAGCAGGTGAGAGTTCAAGAGTCTTTTCTGCACCCTAGCATCCTAAAATCTTCACAAATAAATTCTACATGATGAACTTTTAAAAAGGTTTAACAGTAGTAAAAAAATTGTTTTAAAGCTTTAGAAGTAAGAAATTTCCACCCTTAAACACTCAAAAAGACAACAATTTTACATACTTGTATATTGGAAGGGCACATCCAAGCATCAAAAACATCAGCCCGATTGCTCCTCCAAAGGACAAACTAATCAAAGCTGCAAAGCAAACAAAAAAGTCAAATGGAAATACCAGTTAAATCAAGCTGTAGTTAGTATATTAACAGCTTAAACATTACCTGTAATCCCAGAAGCAAAAACAAAACAAAAAACAATGTAAATGCAGTAAAAGTGAGTTGTCTTCAAAAGCGTGTAAGTTATCTAGTCTCAGAATAAGACTTTTTTTTGTGGCATCATCAAGACAAAATAAAGTGATATTTTATTTACTTTTAAAGCCCTGACCCTAGCATACCACCACATTCCCCAATTATTGCTTCCCTTTCTAATGCAGTATCACAATCTGTAAGATCAAGGTCCCTCTGGGCATTCGGATTGTATTTACCACACAGGTCATTACAGTTTCGAAAAGCACATTCTCAGCTTCACTGGAGTTTAGAGGCCTCGCCAACAGGAAAGCCTCTCCTGATTAGCCCGTTTCTGGCACATACACCCCAACATGCACAAAACTGAGAAGAAAAAAGTATCCAAGGATATCGGTAGCTAATAATTTTTAATCAACGAATTTGTGATAAATCTTAAAATAGTTTACAAAACTATAGCTGGATTTTCTCCCTTAATCTTCCATATATTAGAAAATTTGCAGGATAATGGGTAGAATCCTTCTGTGGTATCACTATTTTAAGGCATTATAAGCAACAGATGTGAAATATAGTTTCTAAAGGTGAAATATGTAGTTTCTAAAATTTTATACGTATATGTTTATACAAAGCATTATATCTTATAAAGTGTTTTCACATATGTTAGTGAGTAGAAAACTTTCTAGAATAGGCAGAGTTAATCAATGGCCTACAATTAAGCAAAGAAATAAATGATCACTTTATTTTGAGTTCTATACAATCTGCATTTCTGCAGCTTCAGTGACTAACAGAATAATTTCTGGTTGTCTTAAAGTTACTAAGACAAAAGCTAAGACCTACAAACCAAAATTAACAGTAAGGGGGTTGAACGCTGCCAAATGCTACCGACATACTTCTTAGATTTAAAATGGTTATAGTCAAGGACACTCACTGATGTCACAGGTCGACAGGTTGGGATTTCGGTTAGATCACGGATGTAGGTCATGTCAATCCTCAACACATTTACTTAGTCCTTCATGTCATTATGGGACCCTGGCAGCACAGTGGTTAAGCGTTTGGCTGCTTACCAAAAACGTCAGCAGTTTGAATCTACCAGCTGCTCCTTGGAAACCCTTTGGGGCAGTTCTACTCTGACCTGTAAGGTCGCTGTGAGTTGGAATCGACTACATGGCAACAGGTTTGATTTTTTTGGTTTTTTAATGCCATTATATTTTCAACGATAGAAGAAAGGAAAGAAGAGGAAAGAGGCACTTCAAGCTTACAAAGGGAATGCAATGTAAGCTGTGAGGAAAATGCTGAATTTATCATTTGTTCTACTCAGGTCAAAAGAGGCCCTCATGATCTGGCCCCTGCCTACCTCTCTTGATACATATTATCCTTCTTCTCTGCACTCCAGTTACACTGGCTTTTTTTCCTTTCCTGGAAACCAGCAGGGTCCCTCACCCACATGGCCTGTGCACATCTGTTCCTTTTACCTCACACACTTTTTCCTTCATTCAGGAAATATTTACTGCAAGCCAAATATGTAACAGGCTCCAGGGATCTGGCAGTGAAGGCGACATGGTCCTTTCACGGTCACGAAGCCTGCGCTCTTGTCCCACTCCCCTTCCTTCCTCCAGGTCAACTCCTCCTTTTCCTTCAGCTCTCAGCACAATCACCTCTTCCTCGGTGAAGTTTTTCCAAACCTCCTCACTAGACCAATTCCTCCTACGTTTATTTACTCATTCATCAATAACTGTCTATTGAGCACCTAATGTGTGTCACGTGCTATTCTGGATCCTGGAGACAGAGCAACGAAAAACAATCAAAGCCCTTGTTGTCATGGAGCTTGCTTGCTAGTGGAAGAATAAAATGATTTTAAAAAAAGAAAAAGAAAGGTGAGCAAATAAACGTCAAGTGCTATGAAAAAAATCAGGCAGGGTAAGGCATGGGAGTGCTCTTTTAGACACAATGGCCTGGGAAGGCGTCTCTGCTGAGGTGATGTGTGCGCAGAGATGTCTGTGAAAAGGGGGAGTAAATCATGTGGCTACCTGGGGATGAGCGATGCAAGCAGAGGGGCAGGCACCGACAGAGGTCCTCTGGGCTCAGTTTTCACAGCTGTCATTTCACATTGATTTTGCATTTATCTTTCCCTCTGAACTGTATGCGCCATGACAGCAGAGGCAAGTTTTTCTGTTGTTGTCAATGCTTGTGTCCCAGCTCTTTACACTCAATAACAAATAGGTGGAGAATGAATGAAAGGAAACCAGGGGAGAAAGAGAGAGCAATGTGGCAGAGTGGGAACAGCAGAGAACTTAGAAGCACTGGATCCAAGTCCCTACCGTGTTGCTGTGTGCTGTCAAGTCAATTCTGACTCATAGTGACCTTATATGACACAGCAGAACTGCCCCATAGGGTTTCCAAGGTGGTAATCTTTACAGCAGCAGACTGCCACCTCTTTATTCTGTGGAGTGGCTGGCGGGTTCAAGCCGCTGACCCTTGGATTAACAGCCAAGCACTCAACCACTGAGCCACTAGTAGCCAATAATAATTTATGAGTCACAGTTTTTTCTTCTATAAAATCAAAAAATTGTACTAGATCTAAAATGAAAATAATTCTCTGAACACTAAAGGCACTTGTTAAAGATACGCTGAAGAAGTAAAAAACCATCCCCACTGTTTGAAGTGTAGTTGCCAAACTGCTAAATTCACCACTAAAAACACAATACAGTCACACCTCACTTACTCAGATGACTTGTTTTTGAAAATACAGCTGAGAATCCTGCTAAAAACAAAGGTTACCAAAGAGACGAAACAGATGTCGCAAAGCCCATACACTAAAACTTTATAAATAGACCTTCAGGCTGTTATTCAGAGGTTATTAATTTTTGTGAGCAAAGCTTTTGTGAACAATTGCTGTGTGTGAATTCAAACAGTATAAAAAATTATTTTGAAGAATCATCTATGCTTATTTATGTTTTTTAATAGGTAAATTCATGCATACACCCATAACAAAATTAAATGAAAAGCAAGTTTTCCTTGCCAGCAGTGATCACTGTTACCTGTTTCTTGTGACACAAAGTTGTTTCCTAGACTGAAACAAGGAGCCCTGGTGGTGCAATAGTTAAGCACTCAGCTGCAAACTGAAAGGTCGGTGGTTCAGACCCACCCGGTGGTTCCTCAGGAGAATGACCTGGCAGTCTGCTCCTGTAAAGACTGCAACCTAGAAAATCCTATGGGGCAGTTCTACTCTGTCACAGGGGGTCCCTATGAGTAAAAAATCAACTCGATGGCACACAACAACAACAACAGATCGAAACAAACGTGAAACAGGAGGAAGCGCTGCATACAAGCAAGAACTACCCTCTGACAGGAAGGAGGGGATGGAAAATTTTTGAAAATCAGGCAGAAAATTCTCAAAAAGCATAGCAGTTTGCAGTAATCTCAGCAAGATGCAAACAGCCTTAGATAGGAATAAAAAAGCCTGGTGATATTTCATTGAGTTTTAACATGGTCTATGACAGAAACAATCATTTAAAAAAGTGTAAATTCTTTTGAGTACACTCGTAAAAAGTTAATGAAACATGATCTCTTTCAAAAAAATCAAACTAAAAGGAGGTATCAGGTATCAAAAATAATTTTATGTGGCATTGAACCTCTCAGTAATACTAGCTAAGATAAAAGGCAAGGAGGTGAAATAAATTGCTCAAAAGTGTTCTCAAAACTTGCAGAGTTTCTTTGGTCTTATGAAATTAGCAACGAGGCTGATTTATATACAAATTTCATCATCTGTATATAAATCATTGTCCTAAATGACACATCAACATGGCAAGAATTTATGCAGTAATTAAGTGACGCAACATTCAGAAGACAGCTTAGATGAGTTTGGCTTCTCCTCCTAAAGCCTCCAGGCTAGGGATGGAACAGCACAATTATCTCTAAAGACAGGTGCTGGTTCTGTGATTACAAACGGAAACCACAGCAGATGAGTCAAACGACAGAAAAGAGAAATTAGAGCAGGAGAAAGGACCAGTTTTCTAACCTGGGAATAAGAAGAAAACCCCAACATATCACAAAAGAATAGGGAAATGGCCCCCCCCCCTCAAAAAAAGCTATAGGCTCCAATTACAGCAACTCCTCCCTAATATAAAGACGATAGTCCAACAAGGAGTGAGAAATCTTGGATTCCTGACAAGCTTCCATAACAATCAGAAAATCCCTTTGAAACCAAAAGTGTAAGTACAAGTCTACCTGAGACACTTCGCCAGATTAATGTGCACCTAGGTTGGCAGTTCTACTTTGTCCTATAGCGTCGCTATGAGTCGGAAACGACTCCACGGCAAAGCAAAGGGTTTAGGTTTGGAGAAAGAAATTACAAAGCTATTTTCCGGAGAGATTCCCACATTAGATGATACTGAAGAAATGAGGAAGAACAGGGAAACAGGCAACATCCTAAAAACCACAGCATTCTACCTTAACTGCCTTTCACGTAAGGATTTTAAAAGGCATACGTAAAATGTGACTCTGGAAAAGAAGCTGAACGGAAGTTGTCCTTAAAGGAAATAACGTACACAGAAATGCTGTTATCAAAGCTCTTCATATCCATCTTGCCTGGCCCTTCTACGAAGTAGCAGCTCAGGAAATCAATGTAATTCGTTGTTAAGAAGTATTGTAAATTGAAAACACTGAATGGTGTTTGCTCCTAACACTCTGACAACAAAATTACCAAACAGCTGGAAAGAATGCAACATGCCTTAGTTATAAAGGAAAGCTAGGAATAAAAAAGCCTGGTAAAATGTCTTTAAATTTTAACACTATTTTATCTACAGAAAACGAAACAAAACTTTGAAATCTTAAAAGGTTCAACGTGCAACTGTGGACAGGGAAGAGATCCAGGAGCGCTTTGGAGCCACTAGGAGTCTACCCGATTATGGTACAAACATCGCAAATGAAAATGCACCAGTTTTAGAAGCGTGTGAAGCTTAGAGAGCGTGTGTCTTGGGAGTGGATGTGGATCTTCAAGGTTTCTGAAAGACCCATCCCTAAGCTCTTCGAGGGCGTTCCTGAGGGACTCAGTACAGCTCAACACCCGAAGATCTCTCACTTGTGCCTTTAAGTGGGAAATGATACCGATTTTCCATAACTCGTACCTCCTGTACCTCCTGCGGCCTCAACCCTCTCAAAAACACTTCTCTCTCGAATGCAAACTCCTGCAAAACGTGTCTGACGGTCCAAGTCACAACAGGACTCTGAACACACCAGGAACCACTTCATTCTTTGTACGGGGAGCCATGGGTGAGAGAAAGGTTACCGAAATCGGCAGAAACGGGCCTGACGTAGACAAGCCAGAGTCCCCTCCGCCTTTCTCCGGGGGCGCCGCGCCCACCGCTGCTCCAAGGCTGCTGGGTGGAGCGCAGCTGTGGGCGGGGGTCGCCCGGAGCAGGGACCCCTGCGGCGCGTGCCCGGCCCTGGGAGCGGCGTGCGGGGGCTGCGCGGACCCTCCCTCGCCCTCCTCCCAAGCGGACACCTAGCCCTTCTCCGCCCAGCGCCCAGGGCCCACCTTTGATGCCGGCCATGGCGGTGACGTTGCTCCTGGCTCCAGGACCCGAGGCGGCGGCGGCGGCGGCGGCCGGGAGACCGGAGATGCGGGGCGGCGGCAGGCGACAACACCCGGAAGTGCGCGACGAAGCACTTCCGCCGGCGGCTCGCGCTCGCGCGGGGGCGTGGGGGGGGTGTGCTACGGGGTTCAGGCTGGATGGCCGACACCTTCTCTCCTTTCTTCCCTGAGCTTCTTGGAGTCGCGGCTTACGGAGACTTTCCGCTCCCGCCAGGTTTGGGGGAACTTGCAGGCTCTGGCCCCCATGTACCTCTCAGAGTTGGGCAGACGCTCCATTCCGAAGCTCCGGTCCCTTATCACGCAGCCACCGCGTTCTCTGAGAAGAATGAGGCGCGACTCGCCGCCGTCCTCTGGAAGACCGAGTGTGATGTCTTTTTAGGATAATTTTACTTCCTTTAAAGCAGACCCATTTTTTCTCCTTCTCAGCCTAGTAATAAAGGAGAAGGGAGGCTAGATCTATAGTCTGTACCTGGCTCTTCAGTTTTCCACACTAGGATTCTGGTGTGGACCCACCTCCAGAGATAGGAGAAGCAGGACCCAGGAAAGGTGTCACAGGTGTGGGTTTAATACAGACCCAATCTTTTGGGAGTCTGAGAGTCGTTGGCTTCTTGGTAATAATGGAGCTAGAAAAAAAAGGAAGCAGAAACACAGATCCATTTACTTAGTCGATTCTGTTAGGTGCCGTGGAGTCTGTTCCAACTCACAGGGACCCTACGCACAACAGAACAAAACACTGCCTGGTCCTGCACCATCCTCACAATTGTTGTTATGCTTTAGCCCATTGTTGAAGCCACTGTGTCAATTCATCTCATAGAGGATCTTCCCCTTTTCTGTAACCCTCCAGTTTACCAAGTATGTTGTCCTTCTCCAGGGACTGGTCCCTCCTGGTAACAAGTCCAAAGTATGTGAGATGAAGTCTCACCATCCTTGCTTCTAAGGAGCATTCTGGCTTACTTCTTCCAAGACAGATTTGTTTGTTCTTCTGGCCGTCCATGGTATATTCAGTACTCTTCGCCAACACCATAATTCAAAGGCATCAGTTCTCCGATCTTCCTTATTCATTGTCCAGCTTTAGAGTTCATATGAGGTGATTGAAAATACCATGGCTTGGGGCAGGCTCACCTTAGTTCTCAAAGTGACATCTTTGCTTTTCAACCCTTTAAGGAGGTCTTTTGCAGCAGACTTGCCCAATGCAATACGTCACTCGATTTCTTAACTGCTGCTTCCAGGGGCGTTGATTGTGGATCCAAGTGAAATGAAATCCTTGACAACTTCAATATTTTCTCCATTTATCATGATGTTGCTTGTTGGTTTAGTTGTAGGACTTTTGTTTTCTTTATGTTGAGGTGTAATCCATACTGAAGGCTGTAGTCTTTGATCTTCATCAGTAAGTGCTTCAAGTCCTCTTCACTTCCGGCAAGCAGGGTCGTGTCATCTGCTTATGGTAGGTTGTTAATGAGTCTTTCTCCAATCCTGATGCTGTGTTCTTCTTCATATAGTCCAGCTTCTCTGATTATTTGCTCAGCAAACAGATTAAATAAGGATGGTGAAAGGCACACCTTTTCCTGATTTTACACCATTCAGTATCCCCTTGTTCTGTTCGAATGACTGCCTCTTGGTGTATGCCTCTTAGTCATTCTACAGAAATTTATATGAACACTTATTATGTACTAGGAACAGGATTGGAGCCCTGATGGCGCAGTGTTAAGAGCTTGACTGCTAATCAAAAGGTTGATAATTAGAATCCGCCAGCCACTCTTTGGAAACCCTTTGGGGCAGCTCTATACTCTGTCCTGTAGAGTCGCTATGAGTCAGAATCCACTCGAAGGCAGCGGGTTTGGTTTTTTCCTCTTTTTTTCCTGGAACAAGGTTAGTCTGTAAGGTGAGCAAAACCAGGCATGGTTTCTGCCTTGAAGGAGTTCACAGTCTAGTGAGGGAGATAGACACAAAAATGTGTACAATTGCATAGTGATAACTGCTGGGAAAGACAGGTATCAGATCTCTAGATCAGTCAGGGAAGGTTTCCTTGAGAAAGGGAAAGCAGAGATTAACAGGTGTGAAAGCAGGAGAAGAGAACAGGGAAAAGCCATCATAGGAAAGCAGTGGTGTGGAGTTGGAGGTGGGAGAGGAGGCCAGTGGTTTTGCTTAGGGGTTAGGGTGGGGCAGTATGGTTGTACAGGAGGGTCCTGTATAAGGAATTTTGTCTTTTTCTCTGAGAAATGAGAATTTTTTGAAGGGTTTTAAAAGGAGGTAGATGGGGGTGGGTGACATAGATCTAGAGTTTTAAATCTCTTCAATCATAGGATTAAAATAAACTGGCATATAAAGATCTTGCTGAGTGAATAGTTAGAAGAGATGTTTCTAACATAATTTAAAATGAGAGCTACTGGGAAGCTTAAGGTGTTGTCTACGCTATTCCCTCCACTACCTCCGTGGTTGAATTACAGTTTTAAAGAGGTCACATCTTGAGGTTTGTTGTTGTTAGGTGCTACAGAGTCGATTCTGACCATAGCGACCCCATGTGACAGAGCAGTACTGCCCCATAGGGTTTTCTAAGCTGTAATTGTTATGGGGGAGCCCTGGTGGCGCAGTGGTTAAGAGCTTGGCTGCTAACCAAAAGATCACCAGTTCAAATCCACCAGCTGCTCCTTGGAAACCCTGTGGGGCAGTTCTACTCTGTCCTATAGAGTCGGAATTGACTCGACAGCAGCGAGTTTGTTTTTTTGATTTAATGGCATATAAATGATCCTGCCTGCCCCAAATACTAAATCTGTGGGCATCTTGTGGAGGAGTAGAAGTCTTTCCTATCTGAGTTAGTGCGAAAAGTTCTGCCATCCCTTTCTTTTATCATGAAAAAATAAGCTTGCATTTAAGGATTGAGGTACCAAAAACATGAGGCACACTTGTGCATATGCCATGGACACGTGTGTTTCTTCATCTGTGAACCACCAGCTCCCTTCCCTCAACTACTGAAGCAGGTATATGCATCTTCCTCCCCAACCATCTTGAAAGGAATAGGTCAAATTCTGGAAGAAGTAAATGATCCCATTCCAAATGGTCACCACTGGCACAGTTTTCTTGTTTTGTTTCATGGAATTCCTTCTTTGAGAGCAAGGATGGGTGAGGGGACAGAGCAGCGATAGCTGATCAGTGGGGGTGGTATTGTGGGTGACAAGTGACAGTTTCTTATCTCAAAGTCTCGTGACTTGGCTCCTGGGAGACAGATCACATATTAGGAAGCCTCTTGAGGGGTGGCTTCCATATGACCCAGTGGTTACGTGGCATTCCCCTAATTTCCCTTTTTCAGTACAAATGGGTTGGGCATTACAGGCCTTCATCCTTGCTGATGTTAAATGGGCAACTTGTGTTGTTCATCTAATCTGCTATGTTTTCCTCTGCTTCCATGGTCACAGAATCCTAAGAGAGTGTACTGCTTGAACTTTCCCATGAGATTCACAGTGTTGCCAGCAAGAAAACGTGTACAACCCCAAGGACTATTTTTGGTCTGCAGATGCTATCTAGGGACCAGTCATTTGAGACCTTAAAAAGTGTTTGCAAAGGTTGTATTTCAAAGACCACCTACAACAGAATCCTTTGGGAGGCTTCCTCAAAATGAAAATTCCTAGGCCCTACTCCAGACCTTCTGAGTTGGAATTTCTGTGGGTAGGTCCCAGGGATCTATGAGTCGGAATCAACTCGACGGCAATGGGTTATCTTAGTCATCTAGTGCTGCTATGACAGAAATACCACAAGTGGGTGGCTTTAATGAGCAGAAATTTATTTTCTCACAGTTTAGGGAGCTAGAAGTCTGAATTCAGGGTGCCAGCTCTAGGGCAAGGCTTTCTCTCTCCGTCGACTCTGGGGGAAGGTCCTTGTTCCCTGGTTCCTTGGTGATCTTCATGTGGTGCGGCGTCTACCTTCCGCCATCTCTGCTGGCATCATCCTTCCCCCATCTCTGCTTCCTTGCTTAATCTGCCCCTTTTATATCTCAAGAGATTGACTCGAGACACACCCTACACTAGTACTGTCTCATTAATGTAACAAAGAAAACACATTCCCAGATGGGGTTATAACCGACCAAAACCAAACCCAGTGCCCTCCAGTAGATTCTGATTCATAGCAACCCTATAGGACAGAATAGAACGGACCCATAGGATTTCCAAGGCTGTAAATCTTTATGGAATCAGATGGTCACATCGTTCTGCTGTGGAGTAGCTTGTGTGTTCAAACCACCGACCTTTATGCTAGCAGCTGAATGTTTTAACCACTAGACCGCTAGGGCTCCTTTTGATTATAACCACAGGTATACCAAAACCATATTCATTGCCATCAAGTTGATTCTGACTCATAGCGACCCTATAAGACAGAGTAGAACTGTCCCATAGGGTTTCCAAGGCTGTAATCTTTATGGTGGCGGACTGCCACATCTTTTCCCTCAGAGTGGCTGGTGGGTTCAAACCATTGACCTTTTGGTTAGTAGCTGAGCGCTTAACCACTGCACCACCAGGGCTCCCCTACAGGTATAGAGGCTAGGATTTACAACACATATTTTGGGAGACACAATTCAATCCATAACAGGCACCATAAATGACTCCTATGCAGATTAAAGTTTGAAAATAATTGTCTGAAAAAAGGGAGACTGTCAGTTTTCTTAATCAGTTTCCCAAGTGAAAATACAAAGTAATCTTAAATCCTTTAAATGTACTCTAAGTCTTCTTACCTAATGGGTTGTGATGGTTAAGGTTATGCGTCAACTTGGCTAGGCCATGATTAACAGTGGTTTGGCAGATATTATGTAATCATCCTCCATTTTGTGATCGGATGTGAGCAGCCAATCAGTTGAAGTAAGTGTTTCCTTGGGAGCATGGCCTGCATTCAATATATATAGACATTATGGCAAAGTTCACCCGGTCAGGATCCTGCATCCAACTCGTCATCTTCTGACCTCTGGTTCTTAGGCTGTGAGCCAGCAACCTGCCATCTGACCCATGGATTTGGGACTTGCCAGCCTTCACAACTGCGTTGAGCGATTTCCTTGATTAAATGAATCTCTCTATAT